ATCTGCTGGTCATTGTTTTCCATGCCCATTCCCATCTTAGCCACCTAGTCACTTCCTGCCTAACGTTGAAGGCCAGCTCTGCTTTAACCTCTCCTGGGAAGCCTGCATTGGTGGTCTCAGGAAGAGTCCATGGCTTCTTCCCTCTCCTATATGACTTCTCAAGCTTTTGTTACTGTTTGTCAGCTTGTGTGCTTACACTGGAAGTTTCCTGTATCTGACACATGGTTGTGTCCCCAGCAGGGACAGCACAGGTACTTGGAGCAGCCATGTAGGATTTGTTGGTTGGTTGGTTGAATGAATGAATGAATGAATGAAGAATGGATCCATCCTTGACCCCTCACTTCTTGGCCAGCGTCAGAGCTGTTATTTTCCAGGGCAAGCCCATTTTATAGGAAAAGAGGAAGCAGAAAGGACTGCTCTGGAATGGAGAAAGCAAATCAATAAAAATGTAAATCTGGTTGAGAAAAGCTGTCCCAGGTTGGCTGTGGGGAAAGATAAGACTGGAACGGTGAGCCCTGGTTGACAGTAAAAGAAATTAGGGGGCAAGCAGAGCTGCAGCCAGGCCAGGGCAAAGGGAGCGTCTCCCTTCAGTGGTACCTCCCCACTCTGTCTTTGCCACTTTCCCTGCCCCCATGCTCTTAATACTCCATCAATTCTCTCAGGGATCCTGGACGGAGAAGGAAACTTAGACATGTTGATCAGCAAATGCACTCATTATTTGGTCTTCACAACTTTTCGGAAACAGGAGATAGGAATGATCAACCTCACTTTCCAGGTGAAGAAATGGAGGCATAGAGAAGTTAAATCACTTGTTCAGGGTCACACCATGAGTAAGTGGCAGAATCAAGATTTGAGTTTAAATCTGAACCTAAAACGCTATTCTTTTCCCTCCATTGCACTGAGGTCTTGATCCAGGCTTCAAAGGGTCCCCAGCCTCTGAAGTCAGATGCACAATTGTGTTTTTGTGCATTTTTTTATGGAGAGTTTATATCTTGTATTGTCCAAGGTGATGGTCACTCATTCCCTTGCCTATACCATGTTCCCTCCCTGGAGGAGGCCTTTGAGCTGAGTATAGAAGAATGGGATACAGTGGAGTGGGATGAAGAAAGCCAGCTGGGTAGAGAACACATGTAGGGGCAGATTCGGAAGAATGAATTCAATAGGTCTAAAGAATGCTGGGGTGCTGGGGGTTCTTACTCCTCATTTATTTGTGCTGCAATCATGGCTCCTGGCTCCCAACTTCCAAGGAGCATCTGACCGCCCTGCAACTTCCCAGCATGGGTCCACAGGCCAAAAGAACTCCAGGACAGGCATCAGGATATCCGCTCTGCTTCAGTCCTGTCCTCTGTTGGACTTTATCACCTGTAGAATCTTGCAAGATTTCACACCTTCTCCTGAGCACACAGGTCAATTGCTGGTGGTTCCTCGTGGACCAGCGGCTAATAATAGGGAAGAGGGCTGCACCCTGGGCCCCTCCATCTCTGGGAACCCCTTCAGCCCTTACCTGCTCCACTCCTGGCTCTCAGCCCACGTCTCTCTTGTGATGACTCCTGAAGTCTCCTGGCCCTGACCAGCCTGAGAGGTTTTAAGCACAAGGACCTCATCTTCTTCAAATCTCTGCTGAATGTAGATTCGGCATCAAGACCCAGCTTGATGGGGCCTCTGCATGTGTTCACATTGTCATGTTCTTGGGAAATTTGCAAAGGTAAGATACTTTAACCACAATCGGTTAAGATTGCTAAGTCTTTTCACACTAACTGCCCTTGTGTTTCAACTTCCCTTCATATGAGGTGGTTGGAGAGGCCATGGGCATTTCTGGGGTCTGGCTAAGGGGGAGTTGAGTTGGGGATCAATTTAATTTGGGTCTATTGAGATATATTTATGTGGTTCTCAGTCATCACTGCATTCAGATAAATCATTGCCAGCCACCGCTCTGTACAGAATGGCTTCTAGGAATCTTCCTACACACTGTCCAGCTCACTCAGAGTTGTGACATCAAGATGTCATATCCAGAGGGCATCTCATGACAGGAATGCATTCCATGCCGCCTGGCCCTGGAAGCATATGGGCAATGGAGGAGAAACAGGTTGGAAATGTACAGAAACAGAAGCTAATCTGTGGGAAATCCTTCCACTTGTCGGGGGGGAAATGTATTTTAGAGGTGTGCACGGCAGTTAGTAAAAATTACTGTGCTGTTTTTCTGAATTGTGTGACATAGTTGTTTTGACTTCTTTTCTAAGTAAATACTCATTTCCTTACCTCATTTTTGTGTTCTTTTTCTTAGAGGGCTCCCCAAATTGTATAAGCTTCAGTTCCCACAAAGTCTGGATCTAACCCCAGTGCCACCGTTTATCTTCTGGGTGATCTTGGGCAAGTTACGTAACCTTTCTGAACCACTCCCTCTTGGGTAAACGTAAATGATGATTTGGACAGGTGAGGACTCCGAAAGCCTCACGCCCTCATTCCATTTCTGAAACCATTACTAGAGGAAGTGACCCAGCCGGATGAAAATTAGACCAGAATATACAGACAGGGGAAGATGTAATACACAAGAAATAATGGTGAGCAGTGAACCCAGTCAAACTTAAATCTAAGTAATTGGAAATAACGCAGTTGTTGCAAATTCTAACGCAGTTTGTAAGAAAGGATTTTTGTAATAAGAGAGACAGTATGCAAAAAAAAAATTTTTAATAACAAGCTGCATCTATAATTCCAGATTATTTCTGCAAAACCTGGGAAATGGGGGAAGGAGAAGGAATATAAACACATGAACAGCCTCTTCCTGTTGGGAACTTGGAAATTCCTGACACTGATAAACACAGGCTCAGATATTTGTTAAACACTTAACGGGATCAACAAATAGTAGGATAAAATGGGAATCAGAACTTCTGTACTTCCCTCTTCTTTCACACGAGATAGCCTCAAAGCCCGATGCTGGGAGCTGCTCAGAGGGCCACAGCCAGGTGTCCCCTGTCCCTTCAGCTCTCCCCGGCCCCGCCCCACATGGCTGGATGCAGCGTGTGGGAAGCTGCTGCTGCTGGCTCCCTGTCGCCTGCCTCTGGAGCAGCAGGTCCCAGCCGGGTCAGACAGGTGAAGGCAACAGAACGGGCTGGGAGCAGATCAGGAAACTCTCCTCCCAGGGAGATAAGCAGGCCTGGCCATAGCATCAGTCAAGGCCTGACGTACACAGGCCCGGTTTGTTTAGACCCGAGCATTCCACAGACCGACTCGTTACACAGAGCTGGGCATTACTGCTCCCAGGCATTACAGGCCTGGGCAGTACAAAGAGCAGGTCCTTATACCAACCCTGCATCACAGAGAACCAGTTTCCCCCCCAAACTTAGGTGCCATAGGAACGGACATTATGTACAGAGCCCCAGGTGACACAGATTCAAGCGCCTAGGAGGAAATGGTGAAATTAGGATTCTAGTTACAAAAGCCACGGTGACTTTGGTGGGGGCCCTGGTCAAATGTGTCAAATCTTGGCAATGCATAGGGTACCAGTGAGTGTGTGGTGGGTGTGTTTGGTCTTTGAAGTTGGAAAACACCCAAGTGAGGGGCCCAGGTCTCCCTCTCCACCGGAGCCCCTCACCCAGACCGTGGCTCCCTGAGGGCAAGGTCTGAGACTTCCTGAGTCCAGAGAGGAGCCTCCCCAAGCAGTTCAGACCCCTTAGGGCCCTGACTCAAGATTTCCTAAAGGCCCTGCCCAGTCTGGATGCTCACCTCCTGCCCCAGTGGATCTCTCCTCAGAGCTCAGGGCTCTGCCTCCAGGGGGCACCAAATGGACACTTCTTGACAGAGGCGATCCTGGCCCCACCCCAGGCTGAGGAGGAGACCTGAGTCCATCCTGACAGCACAGGTGGCCACAGGGATCCTGGCAACCAATCTCAGGCCAAGAGCCTGGAGGAGGCCCTTGCCGTGGCTGCCACTCTTGGCCAGGGGAGGGCCTCCTGGGACAGCTCACACTCTGGATTCTTCAGGCTTCTTCTCTGGTCCTGACATTAACGGCTGCTGCTGTACGCCAGGGCATGTCACCACCTTGGTCCCCTCCTCTTTGCCTTGCTGCCTTAGGATAGCCATGATCAAGGCGAAGCAGGCCAGGGAGCCCGTCTTGAAGAAGAACTGGAGGCCAATGAACCTGGGAAAGAGCAAGAGACCCCTGGACTCAGGACCTCCCCGTCCAGGGCTTTGGTGTCCTTGGGCTGGGGGCAGAATGGGGACAGCAATCACCACCCATTGTGCAGTTGGAGACATTGAAGCCCTGGGGGGAGGAGAGGCCTCCAGCCCCAGTGGACTCGGTGTCACCATCGTCTGGGAGAGAGGGATACACTATGCAGGAGGAGCCCTGGGTGGGGAGCAGACGCCTAGGCACCCTCCCTGCCCTGTCCCTGCCTGCCTCGTGGCCTTGGCCAGTGTGCCTCTGCCTGCGTCTAAGGGCTCAGAGGCCCTGCCTGACAACTGCAGCTCTGGATTGCCCCCAACCCCCACCGCCCACCAAAAGAAAAAGAGGGTTCCTTCTCCCCAGTTCGTCTAACTGAGCGATTTCCAACTGGTGTGCTGTAAGAATTTTTAAAACATGCAATACCTGACTATTTAGTCAGGGGCACTTCTTTTCCCTTAGATTGCCAAATGAAAAAATGACAACAGCCAACACAACGGGAGAGGAATAGAGAGCTAGAAACATCAATGAGAGAGAAACATCGATCAGCTGCCTCCTGCACACCTCCCACTGGAGATGTGCCCGCAACCAAGGTACATGCCCTGGACCTGAATTGAACCTGGGACCCTTCAGTCCACAGGCCAATGCTCTATCCACTGAGCCAAACTGGTTAGGGCTCTCATTGACTTTTTCTCCCCTAGGAAGTCCCTGCACAGTCCCAGCCCACAGGAACCATGCCCTCCTCAGAGCTGGAAGTGACCAGCTCCATGCTCCCAACGCTGCTAGCTAGTCCCCTCCTCCTCCTTCCATCTCCCAACACATCTCAGGGCCAGCAGCCTCTCTGCCTTCAGGTTCCTCTGGGCTTCCCATTGTACAGGTAGGAAGATTGAGCCCCCAAAAAGGCAGGTCTCACAATAAGAAAGAAAGAGCTGGGCCCAGATTGCGGGCCTCCAGTGTTATATGAGAAGGCCTTCTTCCTACCCCACCTCAATTTCCTGTCTCTCTCACAACTGGGCTGCTCCCTGGTTCCCCCACACTCAGCCATGACGATGCATGTTCTTGCACGGACTGCCATCAGATGGCCTGGTTCAAGGCCCAGCTTCGCCAGTTGTCAGCTTTGTCTTTGGGCCACTTTAACACTCACTTTTCCATAAAGGGGGAGACAGTATCTAGATGACAGGACTGGATATAGCAACTGTCACCAGAGAACTTCTCCTCCCAGCTGGTGTCCCGCCTGGCACCCCACCCCCTCCAGTACTTTCAGCACCTTCCCACAATCCCCTGGCAGCCCGCACCCCAGGTCTCACCGAGTTCGGAGCAGGTCATGGTCATAGTAGCGGCAGACGGCCCGACGCCCACAGCTCCAGTCCCAGTGCACACAGGTGGTGTCGATGGCACTGCCGTGGATCACAGGACTGGGCATCCAGGCTGCAGGAGGAGGTGCTCAGGGGACAACGGACCTGGCA